CATAGGCTGATAAGTAAGGGGTATCCCTCGCACAGACTGTCGAGGTTGCACTCTGCAAAGATGCGGCCAGGCTTGTCAGGAAAGATCTCTTGTAATGGTGGCAAAAGGGCGGGTAGCAAGAGACTCCCAGGCGGAATCGACCTCTTAGGCGACAGAGGCAATCTGCTTAGCAAAGCGCAACAGCTGTCTGTCCTGCAGGAATCGCTGCTCATGCCGGTGTGGATCATAGAAACCTTTCCCATACTTGTCGCAGTAGTCCCACCTGACACACCAAATCAGCGCACTGTGGAGCATGGTTCCCGATCCAGCTCTCTTATGCTTGTTTGAATCAGAAAGCTCTGAATTTTGAAGAGCCGCCATCTTTCTTTGAAGCGCTTCGACTCGCGCTGACCTCGCTTGACCTGACTCCCATATCAAGTGTAGACCATGCATCCGAGCATTGTCCTTGCCTGATCCGCGAGGACACCGCCTTTAGAACCTCCGTGACGAACACCCGCCATGACCAGCCCACTCTGCAGCCTTACTTGGCACGGCTTGACACGGTGGCCTTTGCTGCCGTCCACGGGCTTCGCAGCGCTGCCGGCCCTGCCCAAGATAGGCTGCCTAATGGACTGCTGCAGTGTGCTGCCTGAGTACGGGCACACATGAGAGGCAACAGAATCAATTAAAGTTGATTGCTCCAAACTCTAAACGAAGGAGAGCACGAGTGGGTCTTGGGCACCGCTTTCCCTATGGCAAGGCAGAAAGAACTCCACGTACCTTTTCGTTGGCCTGCGCTGCCGCCCGAGTTCAGGCATGTCACGACCACAGAAGGCTGTGAGGCAGGAGTTTTGCAGTGGGTTGGCGCAAACACAGTTGATGCCAGCGAGGGCACATGACATGTAGGATTTCCGGCCTAGCGGCTTCCTGCGGCGCAATGCAGGGTGAGACTATTTACATAGAGGTGCTGAGAAGTCAACCGAAATGCTGACGCATCCACGCTGGATACAGAAAGTAATGCGTGCCAGTCCTGAATATGAAATTCGAACGTGCGCCTATCAGTTCGCACTGCGACAGCGAAACAGGAAGGTCATTTGTCATTACAGAGCAACTGCTTCTTTTGCTGCTGAACTTCGCATCTTAACCCTAGCATGCCGCTCTGCCTCAATGCTTCACGATACTGTACCACCTGGAAGCCTGAAAAAAACATGATGCGACGGTGACAAACCGCGCAAGAAGTTGGCAGCTTGCTGATGGCAGAGCCTGCTCTCGCAGGCTGCACACGTCATTCGCCATCCTCGCGTTGCAGAGCGAGGGCCGAGAGTACAAGTGCCGCGCTCTTCGAAGAGTCCTCTCCAGGCACCTCTTCCTCTGGAGGCCCTATCCCACCTCCGCAGCGGCTGAGGCTGGTAGCTTCATGCAAAAGCCATGGACCCTTTCCCATTCCATGCCGGAGGGTTCCCGCCTGCCACAGCGTCGTCTGTCATTCGCGCACCCGTTGCTAGACGGTCGACCACCTTGTAACAAGTGTCTCTCATCGGCTGTTCCACATGATCCATGTTACTCCATGAGCCGTCCGAACACTCGATTTGAAACTCTATTTCCGAACCTCTTATTCTTGCGTACTCACTGGCACTGCACACATCGTCAATAAGAGATCGGCCGTGGTGATGCGCTTCCGCAGCTTTAGGGTGTCCTGCATTTAAACCTACAGTGAGTTCGATTGCGATCTGTTCGGGGAGTCATCTTGCTGACCCTGTTGCTCAAAGGAGCTGCTGACCGTCTAGATTGGCTTCGCTGGACATCTATAGTCACAGGGTGCAAGAAGAAACCGCTTGCAATGCCCCAACACTAAACCCCTACTCTGAAGTCACTGTATGCTCTGGCGGATGACGCGGCTTGCGAAAAGTGCCCGTGTGGTCATGTAGTGACCCTCTTCGGCCACAAGGTCCTGAGGCACCTTCATAGGAGGAGGCAAGCTGTTGCCTTCCTTCACGCTTCTCGCCTCAGAATCTGTAGGCACAATCACCCAATCGGACCAAGCACCCTGTCCCTGACGAGCCTTTTTGCCTGGGCTTGCTACGAAGGCTTCGCGGACCGCAAGAGAAAGGCCGCAGGATCAAAACCGCGTGAGCCGAAAAAGAAGCCTGACCTCCGCAGACCTTGCTGCCATGTAGAAGTCGCTTGTTAACCAGCAGGTAAAACATGGTAAAAGCAATGATTATCAATGATTTGTAAAGGTGACAAGACGTCGTACATGTACCACGCTTGAGAGATATCAAATTTGCTGACCGCAGTCGGTCCCCTGTTCGCGAGGGTGAAGCACAACAGAAATATGAACGCTTCATCTTCAAAGAATTTCAGAATCCAGAAAGCCACCTTGAGAGGCAAGCCAATTGCTAGATCAGCTCCGCAAGATGCCATGCGCCCAACTACAGCGCCGTGACGCGTGGTAGGGACTTGAGATCGGGTCCGAATCCGAAACTAAACGGGGAGTTGTGTTCAGTGTGGTTGGAGGCTTGCGCTTTGGACTACTGACTACTGCAAAACAAAGCGTTTGGAGTTTTCAGAAGCTGGAAATACTGCAAAAATCAGCTTTGCCTTCTATTGAAATGCCATGCTGCAAAGTGCAGCGTGCGGAGCTCTAGAAAGGCTGCAGCCACCGCTTTCGAGATGCGCTCGGAGCTGGGAACATGTTGTGGTAGATACTGTAGGTCACAGCTGTTGGTGCTGTTGAGACCCTGGACGCAACAATTTTTGCAGCTCAGGATAGGAACAGCAGTAGCAGCCGTCGTCGTCGTAGGAGTAAGCCGGGGGAGGGAGAGTGGGGACAGCCCGTCCGAATGACCGGTTTGGAAAGGGAGTTACCGGGCCTTGCCGAAGGCATTTCAAAGCAAACTGTGCAAGGATGAACAACAGCGCGAAGCATTTCAGAACCTGCTTTCGACGGCACGAGGCTGTTGAGAATTTACACATGCGTGTGCAATCTTGTGCTGAAGAACCCAAACAAACATTATCATTTCTGTCGCAAGCGGTTTTCAGTCGTGGTATCAGAACTTGTCTTGCTCTGGTGCCTCCCCATGATTATCCGATTATCCGTCGAGCGGGCACTGCCTGCACAGCTTCGCAGGTCAACAAGAGCAGCAGTTACATCGACATAGAATAGATGATACTTATGCAAAGGCTGAGTTCGCAGGCCAGCGCCGTTCGCAAAAGATGGAGCAAGGAGGTGTCTACCTGGCGTTGAATGTGTGAGTCCTTTCTCGTCAGACCTCCCTTGCCTTTGCCTCTCTCAAGATATATCACTTCAGCCCCATGGCTTCATTAGCAAGTCACGTCCGAAGTGAGAGAGGAGAGGCTTGAAGAGCCCGAAACCTGCAATTAAGGAGCCGCCTTCTCCTCCCAGCCCTGCTCCGTGGTGTCACAAACTTCTGGGGTCAAATGCCTGCAGGTCCGTAGGGCACAACACCCGTCATGTTCAGAAATCCTATTTGGATCTATGCCTTCTGAGGGCGATGAAATTCTCCTCGTCCATCCCGAATCTGAACTTGACCAGCAACAGCACGAGTCTCGGGGCAGAACTCAATGCTCTCCGCTCTCCGCACGCTGACTTGAGCCTTTGTGGCTGGGGGAAAGGCTCCGTCGCAGCCGAGAGATGGCAAGAAACCTGCCGAGATGAGCCGGGAAAATAAACCACTTTCTCCTTAGAGCCAACACTTCTTTCACTTACACACAGTACAGAGCATTTCACAGCATTACAAGAGGCTGGCCGTTCTCAGAGCTTGTTCAACGTCGTCGATGGCATCTGTGAGCAGCAGTGTCTGCTCGAAGGTCAAGTTGAGCCTCGCTCGCGGCGACAAAGTGGGGCCACACAAACCGACAGCACTCGGCCGCGCGGCAGCGTATCCAGATGATTCAGCGGTGATGGGTTCCGATCCTTAAAGCGAACCAGCCTCAGCTCAGGCTTGAAAAACTCTGCGCTGGCCCGCTCAAGCTGTTCAGTTTGTCCAATCGTCCAAACTACTCTAAGCTGGAAGCAATCTCTTCTGGATGACGCGGTACTGCTGCGTTCGATCTGCTAGGTCCTGAGGAACAATCGTATGCTTTGACAGATAATAACACTATATAATTATATAACGCTCTTCCAATAGGTCTTATTCCTAGCCGAGCGGAAGTCACAGACTGCAACATCGTGCGAGTCGGCAAAGTCTAACAGGCTAAGAGGTTCGTAAGACTCGCCATAGTAGGGCAGGCGCTTTGCGCAGTTCGTCCAGATGTCGTCGAAGATCGAAGTGATCATCAATCAATGCAAAGTAGTCATGCCTCGGTGGAACAATTACCTCACATCGCGGACAGCAAGTGCATGCAGTTGGACGGATGATGAGCAGCAAGCAAAGGCAAACTGTCTTGGAAAGTGATGAAGAAAGGCTCCTGACATTGTATGACATGCAGACAGCGGCCCGCCTCAAGCCCTTTTGCACACTGTGACCTGGCCTCGTCGTCTGCGGCAGCACCTCTGCAACGCAAGTAAGTTTTGTTGAAGGACGGGTGCTGATCTTCGTGACGAACTGCCTTCACCACCTGGTCCAAAATATTCATAGAGACGGTTGCAAAGCTCCTGACTGGAAAACGGCACAACCAGGATTGCTATGAACGTGTTGAGACTACATCAGCATCAGCACAAGCCAGATGTTTCGTCGTCGATACTCACTGCTTCAACTGCCTCCGCTCACCAATTTACCGCGTCTGCTTAGACATGTTCAGAATGCATAGTACGGGCTCTAGCTCAAGCGTCCAAATGCGTGCAACGAGAGTTGAAGCCTTGGACATGGGTCATCCAGGTCAGGAGGTTTCAGAGTCGTCCCAGCAACTGCAGCGGTGAAGTCTTGAGGATGTGTTTCAATGTGTTCCAACATGTTCCAACTAATCAACATGTATGCAATCCCATTCGTGCATTCAGCTGTCGTCCCTCCTTTCTGTGCTTCTTCTGGGGTGTGGGGTGTTTCGAGGGCCTCGAGGGTCCACAATGTTCAAATTTTCATGGAGGGCAGTCGACAGCTCAGAGAACGATCACACATGTATCGTGGCACCCACCAATAAGGAAGCAAAACACGGCCAATGTTGTCTCAAAAGCATAGAGAAGATGGTGGAGCTTCCAGACCGCACGAGGTCGTTGCAAAACTGCAGATGCAACTAGCCGCGCCAAGCATGTCCTGCGTCAATACCCAGAGAGCGGCGAATTCTGCTGCTTGTACGCAGAAGCGCCCGCTGCTCTTCAGCCTTACCACGCCATGATGTACTCATCATGTGACAAGCATGGCAAGCAATCTTTCTCGGATGGACTAGCGGCTACAGCCTATAACAGCTAGCATTGACTCGACAGCTTCGCCTACGGAACTGCTCGTGAGACTGGGTCTGCTGCATCAGCACGGTTGCTTCCGTTCCGGAGACATACTGGATGGAGAGCAGGTTGGACCTGCCAAGTCGGATCCAACAGGTACGTGGAGCCATGAAAACTCAGCTTGAGAGCCGGACATGCCCTGGCTCAATGCAGCCGACCTCTCTGAGAGTCTGTGGCATAAAGTGCACTTAGTTGCTCCTCAACGGGCTCCAAACACATGCGGCTGGTTGAGCAGGACGGCAAAAAGCACTTGCAGCTGTGGAGGCTGCCTGAGCTGCACTCCTTCACGATTGCCGCAGGCGCGAACAGCACTGAGAGCTCTACTTGTTGCAGTCCAGCTGAATCTTGTGCTTTGCATTCTTGACTGGCGGAATCGGCTTGGCCTAGGGTGCGATGAAATCGTCGACATTGCATGCTTCACATTGCTTGCATGAGTGTCGCAGGCGAATTGCCAAACGCTTCTAGCTCATCTGAGCCAGGATCCACTAAAGCAAATGGCAACCAGAAGGAAGATGCGACTGTACGAGGTTCGTTGTTCAGCGAATAGTACCTTGCTTTGATAGATAGCCCAGCGGTTCTGTGCTCAAAGTCCGTAGATACACGGGGCACGATGCACAAACAGCTACCTCCAAGTTGGAGCAGAGGATCTTGTTCCACCTTGGCACCACACATGTTGATGGCGGCTGGTGGCAGCACATGCACTATAAAAATGCAGATCCAAAAAGGCTCCGGCACACGAAAGACGACAGGAATGATCACTGGTGGCCGGCCAGGCTCGACCTTCATCTGAAAGCGGGTGACAGCGAGATAGTCATTTACAGTATTCCTCGCCGCGAGCATGAAGCATTGAAGGCCTTATCTATGAAGATGGATGTCTGCGATAGAGCGAAGCATTGCGGCGCCTGTCACTCGTGGGCCCCTCGTTCAGTCAACAGGTTGAAGCGTTGAGCCACCGAAGCTGCGGGCTTGCACAGGAAACACAATGGTCCGCCTTCAACGTGATGGAGACCTCAACAGCATCTTCCGAAGTATGACAAGCTGATCACTTTTGAATAGGCTGTGAGCAATGAGCAGGACGGGTTACTTATGGCGCCTATTGGAAGGCCGAGTCCGCTGCATTCTCCACGGCTTTGCCACCGCCCAGAGTGACACACAAGTTCACTGTAAGCTGCATCACCATGCCTCCGGAGCATTCGCAAAAGAGCACATGTAGTGGCACGCTATGGCACATACTTGATAGCTTTTGAAGCACATTGCAAGGCCACGTACCGTCTGAACGTCCCACGGGATCATCCTTAGCAACAGCAGATGACACAAAAGGTGTGGCCTCGATCGGCAATAACAGTGGCAATAACAGATCCGAGTCTCCTCCTATGCCATCTCCCATCATGATGGAGAGGGCCATTACAGGCTTAGCTTTTGGGGCCAAGGGTCTGCGTCGCAGTCGTCCTCGTTCATGCCCAGGTCGAGGACCTGAGGCACCTGCGCGAGCCCCCACAGCGGTCTTTCTGGAGGGCGTGTCTTGGCTCTTGGCAGACCTGCGAGTCCACCACTAGGCTCTCTTCGGGTTCTGTGGCCCCGTCGCCATGCGTTTGCCTCAATTCTGCAGTTAGCTGGTTCAGACACGCAATTGCGTTGAGGCGCCTTAGGATGAAGCTGTGACCTTCTCGCTCTGGGCCTGCAGTGCTGGGCCCTGGACCGAATGACACGCAGCAATTCCTGAGCACAGCCACGCAGTGTCGAACTCTCTCGCCTTTCCTCGAGCTCAAGGCCTTTACTCCCTCCTTCGCTCCCTCCAGCCCTCCCCCTCTATCCCTTCCCCCGCTCCGTCCTGATGCTCCTCTTCCATCTCGTCGTAATTCAACTCCTGATGGAGCGGGCAAATACAAACAACCAAACAACAAAGTCACGATTGTTGCTCGAACTTGGGCGGTAAACCATTGGACGTACTGGGGAGACTGCGGCATACTGCCGCACACAGCAGACACCGAGAAATGCTGTTGGCTGTTGACCTTTCCCTTCTCACTTGGTGCCCTCTTGATGGCTCTTATTTTGTGAATCAAAGCTTTGGCAAGGCCTCGGGCCATCTTCTGGCGTGTCGGGTTGCAACCTCCTAGACATGGCAAGTAAGGGTTACGTGCACGGTCCTTTCACCTCAGATAAAGGCATGCGTGAGCGACTTCTTTTTAATCGTCCCCACAATGAAATCAAAGATCTGAGCAGACTTGGAGCGACTCCGGGGTTTAGACGCTTTGAGAGTACGTCAGGAGAATCCCCTACTGTGGTAGACTTAGTAGACACTGGACGCACTGACTTGCAGGCAATGGCTGGACAAGGGAAGCTCGACACAACAACGAGATGCTGGCAACAGAACCCAGATGCCAGATGCATTTGCAAATGATGCCAGTGCGATTGTGCTATAGAGCACATCTAGGGCAATGTTATATGTATTGCGAGCTGCAGCAGTAGGGACAAGGTAGCTGGCACGGCAAATCTGAGGGAACATGGCTACAGGAATCATGAAAATGCAGGGTCCCAACACCCAGGAGACAAAAGTGAACTTGAAGTGACATCTGAGCAGCAGAAGATGACAAGCCAGTGTAGGCACGAAACGGTAGCTGGGTTAGTTGTAACTTTGTGTTCTGCTAGGTGGCTCAGATGTATGACATTGATATGGGTCTTGTCCCCTATGTAATATGTACCCCAATCGCTCCAAAAAGCCTAACCCATATCTCCGCCATAAACCCTGAACCCAAAACCCCTAAACCCGTGAACCCTAAACCCAGAACTCCCCCATAATTGTTGGAAACTACGCCTATGTGCCAGCGTAGTGGCGTAGTCTTGCTTTGGGCGATATGCCGCAGTCTAACATCTCACATCAGTCAGGGGAGCAAAGGAAACGATCAGCTTCAGGATATGGGTAGTTCTCTAAACTAGGGTCCCCTTTTCAGGCCGAAATATAGTGCGGCACCCTTATAAAAGGACCCAGAAGGGACCCTAATTTAGAAAACTACCCATATGGGTAGCTCTCTCTAAACTCTAAACCCTGAACCTTCCTAATGCTGTAAATGGCAAGACTTGAAGCATCGAGAGAACCCCAAGTGGTCACAAACCGCAAGTGCTTTAATTGACAGCATTTGCGGTTTGCCACCAATCAAGACGTTGTAGGTAAACAGTGTTATTAGATCCCTGCTGCGGAAACGGCCCCAAAAAAGCACGAGTAAGCAACAAATCACGACTAACTGACTAACTAACTCATTCCACTGAAAATGGCAAAAGTTACCACTAAGCAACAAAGTTCACGACCAATACATACATGCATACATACCTACCTACCGCTGCCTACCTACCTACCTACCTACCTACCTACCTACATACCTACATACATACATACATACATACATACATACATACATACATACATACCAAGCAGATACATCAAGTTCGGGCGTGTCGGTGCATTGGACGTTTTCATGACCTTCATGCCCCGTCTCCGGCGTTCCCGGAGAATGGGGCCAGCGCGGGACTGTGGAAGGAAAGGATGCAGCCCCGACAGTGTTACCCACGCTGATTCGTAAAAAAAAAAACACCCTGTGAACAGACGGCATATGTAGAAAATGAGGCGAGAGTTTGAAAGGAGCGGCTAGATCGTCCGAAAGACTTGTACAATCACTTAACCGATTACACGCATTCAAAGCGAATGGAATAGAAAATTCTACACATGAGACGAAGCTTGCTGCAGCAAAGCTAATGCTTGTACAGCTTGTGCATGTGTGACGAGGCTTGGAAACATTTTCAAGTTTTCGCGGAGGCCTCAAGTCTAGTACGGCGTGCCGCCTCGTTGCACACTCTCGGTTCTCTCCTGTTTCTCTCACCCTGGACGTGGCGGAAATCCTAGAAATCAAACTTGCAGCGATGTCTGATATTATGGAACTCGAAGCACCCTGCAAAAGCACAGCTGATGTGCGCCGCCTTCATTTCCGTATTTACCAAGCTCGCAGTAGGTGGATCGGTGCCTTGGTGGTTTGGTACCAATGTCACGATGTTGTGGAACTTCTGACTGCTATCAAAAGCCTCAAACAAACCCAATTGAGCATCAATGGCAGAGTCAGTTCTGATGCGGACATTTCTTGTGCACTCTCCTTAGCCGTTCGGTGTATTGAGGCCAACACCCAGATAGCATATTTGAAGCTTGCCTTTGCCATCCATCAGCACCACCATGCCTATGTGCTGGAGAGGTCAAGCTGTCAAACTGACTTGCACGCGGCGGTCACCCGCACCTCGCACGCCACCAACAGTGTCGACGCAAATTTGTGCCGGGACCTAATACTCACGACATGTTCTCCAAGTTGACGTCTTTGCTGACAGTTGCGCAAAACTGTCGGCTTCGCATGTGATGAACTGCATCGCAACACGGTCAGCGATAGCCTGTGGGACACTGGGGGGCGGAACCATTCCCTGCAGGCGTGCGCACCATACAAGCTGCATCTCCTTCAGAACCAAGCAGTGGCCTGATCGGTGCAGTAGAACATATCAGAATGCTTCTATATGCTTCTATTCCACTCCCGGCTGCTGTAGAACTCAAAACAGCATGGATGGGAAGAGTTTCCCAGTCGTGAAGTGGTCAGGCTGTTGATGCAAACGACTTTGACCAGAAAACATTCCAAGCATGACACACTGCAGTTTCAACAGTTGGAGCCTTTCTGTTGCTAACACTGCTATTGTTGATGTTGCTGTTGTTGTGGATGGTGGTGTCGAAGTGTATATTGATGTTGCTGCTGTCGTTGCTTTTGACGGAATTTGACGGACCTGCTTGTTTTGTGGGATGCCTGCGAATCTGCATGTGCGTGTGTGTGTGTACTGTCCTCGACTATGGGCACAGGCTGCACAGGGGATCACTTCCTTCGTTTGACTTGTGCAGGGGACGGCGGCGAAGGGCAGGGGAAAATCCCCCTTCTCTTCTGAGGCAAAAGGCTGCATCACCTGCTCCTGGGCCCGGCCGCGCAGCGGCAAAGGGGTGTGAATCTCGCATTAACCTTCCATCTCATCTTCGTTTTGGCGCAGCGGGGCAGAAACCTCAACCCTACAAATAATCTCTGCTTGTCTTTGTGCTTGGCAGACGTGGTACCAAACTCTCCATCCTATTTTCATTACCATCACCAACATCACCTTGCTTCATGTCTAATCTCTAACATGCGTTCAGTCACCGTGAGTAACCCTCTCACCAAGGTTTCTGTCACGGTGCCATGTTGGCCCTCGGCTGGGGCGGATGCCGATAAGCTGATCAGCAGAACGCGATAAAGCATCCCAACTAACCCTGCCGGTACTTTCATACAGTCGTGGATCAACTGTCGGCAAGCACGGTTGCCGACTGATTCTATTGTCCGTGATGTTGGCCATGTGCTTTTTGTTAGGAGTTCATGTGCAGTAACGGGTCGTCTCGCTTTCTATTCTCTTCCTTCTCAGTGCAAGGCATTTGTGCATGACATGACATGAGTCCGTGTGAGGCTGTGAGGTAACTGCAGGTGTTTCGCTTGCATGTAGCAATGACTGGTCTTAGAGGACCATGCGCACTTACATAACCCCTTGTTGGGATGTCGCGCGGGTATACTGTCCACGACCATGGGCACAGGGTCATCCCCTTCGTTTGCTTTGTGCAGGGGGACGGGGGGGAACCGCGTGCCGACCCCAGGTCACATACCTGCATCACCTACACGTTGGCCCCGTGGGCAGCTGGAGGGGTTGGAGGGGTGTCCATCTTCATTCACAGTGCATCTTCTTTTCCTGAGGTGCCATTCCTTTGCGTCTGTTGCACCTGGCCCCCTAATCTAAGGATCGTCTCGTTTGTGCTGTATGCCAGTCTTTATCTGGCAGACATTGACATGCTACCAAACTCCATCTCATTTTCGTTACGATCATCATCAAGACCACCTTGCTTCATGTCTGACATGCATTCAGTCACCATGATGATCAACTTCTATGCGTGTGTGAACTTGCCAGTCGGAGCTATTACGTGAAGGATCTGAGTGAGAGACCCGCAAGTTACTGCAGATCTCACTCTGAGGATGGTTTTTGCGCCTCGTCGGATTACATTGCTGGCAGTGTCGCTTTGATGATCATACCCACAAGTTGTGTGGTCAACTATGGAGTCAGCGTGTGAGGTGGCAGTAGTGGGACACGCGTGTTGATGCTTTCCTGTGGCGTGCTCGCCTTGCTACACCGCAACCAAATCCGTTGGACAATTGATTTATGCGATTTGGCTGAGTGCAGGTGCACGTTTTCTCGATCTTTACCTTACCTGGCAATGGTGTTTATGGACGACTGCACCTGCACCGCTGCTCGGCCGACATTTTGAGGACAAAGCTTGATGCTCGGAGCTTGGTTGACTCTGGTGATAAAGTGATAAAGCCCAGTTTGCCGACATCAGACCCGCATAGACCCGCGCACACCACAAGGCTCTTCTTCCGTCCTTTGATCAGGACACGCTTCGCTCCACTGTCTTCTTTCTTCGTGATGTGAGGCGTGGTAAATAACCGTCTCCGCAGTAAAAAAAAAAAACAGGAGACTGAACGAGTGACGACTGCTCAAAAGCGTTGTTTGCACCCGGGGCGATCAGCTTCCGAAGGAATGCCAACATGTTTGCTCTGAGCTTTGTTGCATACCGTTGGATTGCTTGGTTCCTCACATGGCAAGTCAGCAATAGACTTTGGGCGGTCGTGAAGCGTTAAGTGGGCGCAGGAGGTTGCCTGGATGAGCAACGAGTGGCTGCATGCTGTTGTTCTTGGGGAAGTTCCCTTGTCGAAGCACGCAGTGTTTGCAGATAGTTCCGCGTTCTGTATCAGTTACGTCGTGCTAGTCGCTATTTGTGGAAGTTATGGCCCATTCTCAAAAACCTCCTTGATCTTGGGAAAGACAGGATTTGCGCCTTTCTTGAGGCCGAACTAATGCTCTGATACAAAAGAACCTTCACAACCCTCGTGCTGGGTGGCGTGAATATTTAGGGAGTTGCTTCGTGGCGCCTGGACGGCATGAGGTGGCGGATGTTGGCGATGATGATCTTCGGGTTATCCGACGTCGTGATTTTGAGCATATGCGTCGGCTGATGAAGCATTCGGGGTGTATAACCGTTGGCTAAGGAGCCGTGAGACGATGTGAGACGCATGTCTTTAGTCACCCTTTGTTTATGTGTGATGCTTCGGGCACAAGGCGTCACCTTTTGGGAGTGTGATGTGAGCCCTTTGAAGGGATCCCGTGTCCGGAAACTCCGCATTGCCCCCTTCTCATTGAAATGGGCTGGAGGTACCACAAGCTCAAGTACAATCTACCTTGTGCAGGTTCACTCGCATCTGTGGCAAGGGCAGATGGGATTCTTAGTTTTGCTGCTCAGGTTGCTCTCGAGGGTTGCTTCCATTCCACGCTTGTTTGTTCGAAGTTCAAGCTGAGTGGACGAGCGCACATGAGGTTTCAGGTGCTGCCATAGGTCTCTTCCACCTTCGGCCTTGCCTGCTTTCATGTGAGATGGTTGTCGCTCCTCTTGTTGAAGGGCTTACATCGGTGTCCATGTTTGGCTGTTGACACCGAAACAGGGCAGGTAAGTAAGTAGTATGTAATTAAGGAAGTAAGTCAGTAAGTAAGTCAGTAAGTAGGTAAAGTAAGTAATTAAGTAAGTAAGTAAATAAGTAAGCTAGCTAGCTAGCTAGCTAGCTAGCTAGTTAGTTAGTCAGTTAGCCAGTTGGCTAGTTACAAGTTGGTGGGTTGGTTAGTTGGTTAGCTACGGTCAGTTGATGAATTGGTGAGCTAGCTAGTTAGATAGCTTGCTAGCTGGCTGGCTTCTGGCTAGCTAGCTTAGTAGGATAGTTGGTCAGTTGGTCCTTGTTTCCTTCACTGTCAGCAGGGAACATAGGAACATACCTGGTGTCCTGGCCGTTTGGGGGGGCTGTCGGCACTAGAGCAAACGCATACGTATGTGTATGTGTATATATATATATATCTATGTGTGTGTGTATGTACACACATGGCCATATTACATGTTTGGCCGTGTAAAAACATGTGTTTTCGGCAGGAGTGCGTTTTGATCTGTTCGCTCTCTTGTGTAATTGCCACGTGTTAACTGGTAACTAGCAGTGGAAACCATCCAATCAAGATGGACTATTCCCAGATCCACTGCACCTTAGACCTTAGATTCTCAACCTTAACGGTTACAATTATGCCATGACGAGTCGCAAAAACAGTGGAAAACAATCTTCATCGCTGATGACGATTGCCCGATCGGGTTCGAAACCGGTGACTCGTGGCGACAATACAGGAGCGTTACACATGTTGGCCCGAATGCGCACAATCTGATGTGGAACGTCAGGCGTGCAACATTGTGGGTTTGTTTGTCACCTGTGTTTGCGCATGTACTTTGCTGCATTCTTGTGTAGGCTGTGCGTCTCTTGCTGCTTTTCATTCTCTCCTCCGGCCGGTCGACAATATGATATCCCACAGCACCTGCTAAGAGGCAGTCCCTCTGTCAGCAGCTGAGTGTGTTGCCTGTGCTTGTTCCCAGGATCAAGTTGTGATTCGCCGAGGCCTGTGCGCACGCTTAGCATCAAACTTAGGCTTAGCAGCTATCTTGCCACAAAATGGCACAACCATCACTTAACTCCCGTCCCTTTAGCACCTGTTATGACTGTTAAGAATTTCCTGGCACCACTGTGTCTGCATGTGGTTGCTGAATCCGAGAGTCTCCGTGTCCCTGTTAGGCAGCGGCGTCTGGTGACTCTGGCGGCATCTTGTACGCGAGGGAGGCAGCTGAGGCAAACGTGTGAATGTCGGAATGACTGCATGTAAACATGGAGTTCACAGCAGCCTCTCTTTGGCAGTCTGATTTGGTTTTGTCAGTTCAGAAACCTTTGGCATCACTTGGTTCCAAACTGATTCCATACTCGGCCAAACGTTTTTGGAGTCGGATGCCACCACTGTCCTCGTCCGGTCAACTAGGACACGCTGCTTGGGTGTCCACATGTTTGTGTAGCGGGCACTTCTCCAGCTTCCAGACGCATCAGAAGATCACAGTCATCTCACAGTGATTCTGTCACACGTCTGTTGAGCGGCATGACAGGCCAGTCCTTGAGAGTGTAGACGGTTTGCTCGCCAACCACCAGAATCTCCTAGCATTTTGGCGCCGCTTCCCAGCTGCGCGCCACCGATTACCCGGTCCTGCTGATTCGCGGAGAGAGATCGGCTAAAGCGCACCACCTCGATACTCCGAGCCTGATGCAACAGCACTGTGTCGATTCTTGCATGACAGCTTGGGGACATGTCTTCTGTGCTGCTGGGGCTTGTGCATGCTCACCAATGTTCGTAGACCAGTCGACCTTCATCGTCGGATTTGATTCCCATTACAAAAGAACTCGAGAACCTTGTGTGCGATGCTTGATTGCAACGAGCCCTGGAAAACAAACATCCGCATATGTTGGCTGTAGAAAAATTATAGAGCAGGTTTG